TCCTGCTTTCCTTTAGTTACTTCTGGCCCCATGATTAGTCTATAGATTGATGAGTAAGATTCATGTGGAAACCTAAAGACTGGTATCACTGTTAGAGAACTATAGCTGTTCTCTATATGAAAAACCCCATTACAACCCAGGCAAACCATGTCCCATTTCCCTGCTTATTCCTATGCCACTCAATAAACTCAACTTTGAAGTTTTAAAAAAAATCTTTATTTTAGATAAAATTATTTCCATAATTAAGGATAAAGCAAACACTTCTTTGAGTCCATCATTTCAGGTGACTGTGATTTCCATGAACATTGGCGTTACTGAGTATCATTTGAATATTTGCCTACATGCTTGTGGGAAGCTTCTGCAGCCTTTTCTTGGTAGGAATTCCAGTTTTTCTGAATTCTTCCCTTTCCTTCAGGTATTCCATTTTGCACTCTTCATAAAAGGCTGGATCATTATAGCTATGAGAAAGAAAATGAAAATCTTTTAAAGTGAATCACTTTGTAAGCATATAAGCTTATTTTAACAATAAATTCAGACATCCGGTTCATCAGGCACAATCTTTAGAAGCAGGTTTTTAGTAATGGTCATAAATTCATTGTAAACATTAGGCTACCAAATTAGTTAAAGAAAAAAAAAGACCTAATGGTTCTTTTTTGAATACCACTGTCCCAGGATAGGACAATGGGAAGTCAGGGCACCCATCCTCAGGGACCCATGAGAGCAGACAAGACTGCATCACAATTATGTACACAAAGTACTACGGCAGTTGTGGGCCGAAACATGGGGCAGAGTGGAAAAAGGGGAGCTGTCAGGGGGAGACGTTTGAGTTGCATTTTGAAGGACCAACAGAAACCCACATAGAAAGCACATGTGGAAAATCCCACAGATGAGGAAAAACTCTGATGCACGAAGAAGTACAAGGAGATTATTACCACCATAGATCACGCGCAGGAGAAAGGGCAGGAGATGCTGCAATGGGGAGGGCCAAATCATGGCGGTCCATTCATGCCCCACTGAGAAGTCAAATCTACCCTGAACGGGCACTATTCACAAAGCAACTGTAAGATCAGTTCTGTGCCTTAGACTGGGGGCCCCCAACCCCTGGGCCACGGACTGGTACTGGTCCGCGGCCTGTTAGGAACTGGGCTGCACAGCAGGAGGTGAGCAACGGGCAAGGAGCAAAGCTTCATCTGCCGCTCCCCATCGCTCGCATTACCGCCTGAACCATCCCCTCCCCCCCCCCCCCCGGGCCCCTCAACCCCATCATCCGTGGAAAAATCGTCTTCCACGAAACTGGTTTCACGGTGAGGAAAAGGTTGGGGACAGCTGATCTAGACTGCAAGTTCCATGGGGGGTGGGGAAACAAATCTATCTTATAGTCACAGTTGTAGCCCTAGCACCTAGCATACTGCCCAGCACATAGTAAACACTCAGAGAACACCTGCTGAGTGAATTATTCAAGGAGCATCTGTTACGAGCTGGAAGTAGAGCCTGCACCCAAGTTCTAGCTGATTCAAAGCACGTGCTTTTTTTTTTTTTTTTAAATCAGCACCATAAATTTTGTTATTTCTCTCTTCAATCCCAACCCGCTGGGCATTTTCTCCCTAAAATGCTCCAGTAGAATAGGAATAATTAAATAACCTTTCATTTACTAAAGGGAAAAATCCGTGGAAAAACTCTTCCACGAAACTGGTCCCTCGTGCCAAAAAGGTTGGGACCACTGCCTTAGATGAATCTGACAGCGTGTGGCAGATAGGCTAAAGGTGGGCAGCAAGGGTGTCCAACAAATAAGCTATTACAATAATCCAGACAAGAAATGAGGAGGACCTAAGCCAAAGGAAGCACAGTTCTGATGAAAAGGATGAAGTGGATCTGGGGGAGACTGAGGAGATGAAATCAACAGTTAGGAGACCAGGAAGATTCTAGATCCGAGACAACTATAATTCACAAAGACACGACGCAGGAGTCAAAGGAGCTCAGTTCGGTTTCAGACCGGCAGAGGGAAGTGGAGACATGCCATGACCCATAGGAAGCAGCTGAATTCCACGGGTGCAAACTGAGCTTTCTCAGATTTAAAACGGAGAAGAGAAACTGGGGAACCAGCTTTAAGGAAGAGGTTAAGGAAGAAAAGGTGGAGAAGAAATAGGTAGAGATGCTGAGGAGACAGGAGAGAGCGTAAAGAGGGATGCCAGATGGAAGGGACTTCCAGGGGTTTCCAGAGAGGGGTCAAGTACCAGAGAAAAGATGGAAAAGACACTCACTGGAACCTCCGGGAAGAGCAGTTCCAGTGTCGTGAGGGCAGAAGCCAGACTGCAGTTTACTGAAGGATGAGTGAGAAGAGACGGGGAGAAATAATAGAACACAAAACTGACTCAGGGTGTCACCAGGCGGAGATGAGAGAGGGTAGTGGTTCCACCCATGGAATGTTGACAGTAAGTAAAGCAGAGCCCCCACTCAAGCAAAGACAAAAAAGCAGTATTTCTTAGAGTATGTTGAGACTTGAGGTCAAGTAGAATTCTTCCTAATAGCTCTCATTTCTTTCCCACAAATGTCAGTCACTCCTCTTGGTTTGCTCCCCTCTCTTCTAAGCAGTTACAGCCTCCCCCTGCCCCCCAGGATGGACTGGGACCTGTTATCTTCTCCATCTCTAGGGGGCGAGAGATGGCAAGATATGCCAATGATTAATATCCAGATAACAAAAGCTAACAAATAACAGACAAACTTTTAACAAGAGCTAACGATTACTGAGTACATGGTATCTCCTATGTGCCAGCGCTGGGGTGACGTGTTTCCACGTGAGGAAGAATCACCCCACCTGACAGTGAGGACCCTGCATGGGTTGCAGGGGGAGCTACGCCCTGGGGGACCCAGGAGACACCAGCTCGCTGCCTTCCCCACGGTCCCTGCTCCTGGCTCCAGTGCTGCCCTGTCCCAACTAAGAATAATGAGTCCCTATGATATGATGACTGAAACCGAGGTGTCAAAATCCTTTAATCAATGTACAAAAGGGAATTTAACAAATTCAGTCACACAAATGTGAAAGAGGTTCATCTATTCATTCAACATCTCTTGGGAGCTCTAGGGACCAGAACTCTTACTTCTCCACAGTTAAACACTTAGTGCAGGTCTGGGCTCATAAAAAAGAACAGCTATTAGAATTGTTTATTGACTTGAGCAAAGACATGCGGACTTGGAGTATGTTTCCTTATCTATAAATGTAGAGATTCAGTATTCTAAAAGAGTCTATAAACTCATGTGTACATTATTTGTTATCAAAAAAGAAAACAATTTAAGATTCAGATAATCACCACTTTTTATGTAATTGCCTAAGAAGTATCAAACCATCCTGACATAGATGCTTCACAGGCTAGGGGAGCAGCGTACAGAAGGAAGTAAGCGTTCGCCAAAACTAAGATCTCACAGACAACTACCAACTCCTTACTCACTAAAGCACTGTATCCACAACACTGCCTGTCAATAATGTGGGTGATAACACATGTGGGGAGATGAGCAGAAAGCAGCTGCATTCAAAGACCTCTGCATATTTTTACTTTAAGATTCAAGGAACTAAAACAGAATATCAGTGAACATGATATTTAAGAATTATTTTTCAAAGTAATTTAACTTCAAAAATCTAAATTTACCTTTGTAGCCTTCATTTGATTTATTGCAACTCTCCTAGAAGTTAAATTACATTAGTCCAAAAGATCCCAAGGCTGGCAAAAGTACCTTTTCATTAGAAGAGATAAACATAATATATTCTATTTTCTGTTCATGAAAAGGAATTTATTAAATCATATGAAAAATCATGTATTTTAATCAGATAAAATGCTGACAAACACACAAATCCTGAAAAGACCCTTCATAAATATGTTGTATTGTTTTTCTTAGAAGAATCTTTAACAAATTAAAAGTTTAGACTCAGACAACTATATGACAAATTTGGTGGGGAGAAGTAGAGATTACATGTAATGAGTTAAATAACATACTCTTACCTACTACACACACACACATACACAGGAGCACAAACGCTGAGGTAACTACTCACTAAGCAGTTAGACATTCTTTCAATGCAGAATTTTCTTTGCGGCATTTTACTACCATAAGGATTCCAGAGTCCTTGCAACATTTAGTGAAATCTGAAATTAAAAATTTGGAAGAAAAAAAATGACTTGTAATTACATCACTGTAATTGTTAACAGCTCTAAAATATTCACTCATTTAACATCTATTACCTAGACTGTGCTTGGCTCACAGGACATGCTCCACAAAAGACGTGTACATGGATAAAAGGCAGAATAAAAGTCCTTTACTCTGTAGATTTGAAAGGGGGAGAGGAGACCTCTGAGGTGAAGAGTGAAGGGGCTTCACAGAGGCAGAATGTAGAGAGTAAGTAGAATTTCTAATTCAGACAGACTTCATTGTACTGCATTTTACTACTGTGCAGACACTGCATTTTTTTTTACAAATTGAAGGTTTGTGGCAACATTCCTTCGAGCAAGTCTATCGGCACCATTTTTCCAACAGCATTTGCTCACTTCATGTCTCTGTGTCATATTTTGATAATTCTTGAAATATTTCAAACTTTCAGTATTAATATAATTGTTACGGTGACCTGTGATCTTTGATGTTACTATTGTAACTGCCAACACAGAGAAGATAGCGAGAGAACTGGAATTGGAAGTGGAGCCTGAAGATGGGACTGAATTGCTGCATCTCCTGATAAGACTTGAACAGAGGGGAAGTTGCTTCTTATGGATGAGCAAAGACAGTGGTCTTGAGATGGAATCTACTCCTGGTGAAGATGCTATAAAACTTGCTGAAATGACAACAAAGGACTTAGAATATTACATAAACTTAGTTGATAAGGCAGCGGCAGGGTCTGAGTGGACTAACTCGTTTTGAAAGCAGTTCTACTGTGGGCAAAATGCTATCACACAGCACTGCAGGCTACAGAGCAATCATTCATGAAAGGAAGAGTCCTTCGATGCAACAAACTTCATTGTTGTCTTATTTTAAGAAATTCACCCCAACCTTCAGCAACCCCACCCTGATCAGTCAGCAGCCACCAACATCAAAGCCAGATCCTCCATCAGCAAAAAAAATTACGATTCACTGAAGGCTCAAATGATGGTTAGCATTTTTTAGCAATAAACTATTGTTTAGTTAAGGCATGTACATTCTTTTTTTGGACATAAGGCTATTGCACACTTTAATATAGTGTGAGCATAACTTTTAAATGCACCAGGAGACCAAAGAATTCATGTGACTCGCTCTATTGTGATATTTACTGTATTGTAGTGGTCTGAAACCAAACCTGCAGCATCTCCAAGGTCTCCCCACAGAGAAAGAGAGTATATTCTATGGATGAACAATAAGGTTCTACTGTATAACACAGAGAACTATATTCAAAATCCGGTGATAAACCATAATGGCAAAGAATATAAAAAAAAGAACGTATATATATGTATAACTGAATCACTTTGCTGTACAGCAGAAGTTAACACAACATTGTAAATCAACTATACTTCAATTAAAAAAAAAAGAGTATATTCTAGATGAATAGGAAGAGCAACAGGGGAGTTGTGTCCAGACACGGGTCTCTGGGGGCCAGTTTCTGTGTGTCTTCTGATGGCATCAAGCTACTCTCTCTTTCACACAACCTGCCATGGTCCTCCACTTCTGAAAATAGGGCTCCCATCCCATTCCTGAGTCAACTCTGAAATGCCCCAGAAAATCCAAACGGCTTTCTATCACATTTCCATTCTGGTAGTTTCCCTTTTAAATTGTACTGGCCCCTTGGCCTCCTGCCTTCTCAAGACCACCAACCCAGAAAACCCAGGTGCCAGAGGCCAGCCACAGTGGGGCCCCCTGCTTCTCTACTGGGTCTGCTTTGGGTCAGACCAGGTCCCTCCTCAGGACAGTGCGCGGGGTTCCCCTGCTTGGGCAGCCACTCTCCTGAACTCTTCTGGTCTTTCTCCTATCCACTGGGGGCTCTAGTCCCAGCCCCAGCCGCCTCCAGTCTGTAACCAACCATGTCCATGTCAGACCTTAAAATATGACATCATCCTCACAGAGAAGCTGGAGAATAGCCTTTATTAACTCTTTTAGTACAAAATTATCAGGATTCCCCTCTTTTCTTGAGCTCTGTATTACCCTTTCAGCTACTAAGAAATAAAATTTATAATCATCTTAAAGCAAGCAGGTAATTTCAGGAGTCTCCATGAAGACACAAAATGTGTAACAAAAGTGAAATTTTAAACCACAAGCAAACTGAAAATGATTGAGATTTGTAAATGCACAAGAAACTCCTTCGAGGGGCTGTGCCAGACCAAGAGGCCTATGGCACAGACGTCCAAGTCCACTGCACAGTCTGCAGGATGAGGGGCGATGGGAGCGAGGACAGCTGATGTGGGAGAGGACCTGACTTCAAACGGTGTGCGTGTCTGGTCACACACAGTGGGGCAGGGATGCTCCAGCTCAGAGCATGGGCTCCTTCAGCTTGCTGTTCACCCGTCTCAGAACTGCCACTGTTTACTGAGTCCTGAACCGAATCAGGCATCTTTTTCACTCAACTACAAATGTTCTTGTCGTCTCTTCACTGATGAGCTGGGCACGTGGGCCAAATCAGAGCAAGGGGACTTCCTGTGTCCTTTGATGAGGATCCCCTATGACTCAAAAAGGTAGAGCAGACTTACAATCAGCTCGTTCTCATCAAAGGTCCTGAATGGGGGGCCACAAGATTATTGAAAAGTCCACTAACTTCCACTCTGGAAAGCCATTAGCATCCCTACATGTGAACTGCTCTTCATACAGCCTGATGTTAAGACCTGCCTTTCTAGAGGCAAGGGTTATGATCCTAAATAAGAATTAAGACAGGAGCAACCCTCAAAGGGAATGTGAACATAAAGTTAATCCAGAAGTGACTAAATGTTAGACGGTGGTGACAAACCGTGGGCTGACTCTTTGCAGCCTCACCATCACTCAGAGACCTGGATCAACCAGCGCACTCAAATATCATCTACAGAAAGGTCATGAGCATCATGAACTTTACCTCATGAACATATGCTAGTTGACCAAACCCCAGTCCCTTGCAGGAAAACATGAATACAAGGGCTATTACCAAAAGTACACTTTCTGAATTTAACATACCCAATACTTTTACACTTGACAAATTCACAACAGAAGGCTTAGGCATTGAATTATGTTAAGATTTGTTTTCCCTAATATGACTAAAAATGTCCTCAAGTAGGGACCTGACTCCAGATAGCATTTATGTGTTCTGATTACAATAAAGGCACAGTCTCTGTATTTTCACACTTGTCCAAATCTCTTCAGGAGTAACTGTGACTGGCCTGAAGCCTCAAGCTGTTTGTAAGGTTTCTGTCACTTGTTTAGCAACAAGATTTTAATGAGGATCCTTCTTTCAAACCACATTAGCAAACATTCATATATCAGTGATGTTGCCAGATCCCTAGGATGGTATTCTGAAATAAGCCCAATTTAAATCTCTTCTGTCTCTCAATATTAAGTGTTAAAGAGCTTGTATACCTGTATATAAATAAATTATTCACCATTAAAGACTATGAAAATGAACTTTCATTCACTTACGTATATCTTAAGGCAATGCAAATAAATATCAATAAACAGTGAGATGATTAAAAGTTATTCCAAACTTTAAAGAAATGTGCTTAAAGATAGCACTCAAGACTTTTTTCTTCAAAATATCAAGAACATGAAATTCTATCCTTCTGTAAACACTCATTTCTCTGAAAGAAACCACTTAATAAATAAACTATGGGTAAAAATATTCTGTGGGCATGATAAAATTTGGATCAAGTGAAGCTAGGGAAAACAGAAAGACATAAAGTCTTCTCCTATTAGTCTAGGATAATGGGCAAAATAATCATACTGTGATTGAAAACAAGAAGTCCATAAAATTTCCAGTTTATATAAGAAAAAACTTGGGGAACCTCCATATAAAAGCAGTAAGAGAAAGAAATGGTTTGGAATTCATTGCTTTTCACACATTTAATTTATGGAACTTCTGAATGTATTTTAATATTTAAATAATCACCAATAATAAGGTTTCCTGATTAAGCCAAGGATGAAGGACAAGGCTGTGCGTGGGAGCAGAAACACCTTCCACACGTTTCATTTAGTCAGTTTCAAGCAACGTATTATTTTGCAAATGCAGTCATACAGGTAGAACTAAAGCATTCAATGAGAAATGAAAATTTAAAAACATACAATATTAAAAGAAGTAATTCCAATGTTTCATATCTCTGACCAGAACCACTCCTTTTATGATTCCACTAACTTATATTTTCTAAAAAATCCTGAACTTACGAATTTTTACACAACCATCTTTAGACATAGCACTTACTTCTAACTTTCTAGTACTTTTATTTCCTCAATCAGTAAAGTACTTATAGAGTACCTATTTTGTTTCCAGCATTACAAAAAGCAGAGCTCTATTCGGGTACCAACATAATTTAGAATTTTAACATATAAGCTCTGTGTAATATTTCCATGACTACACCACCATCTTGATGGTTTCACTTTTAAATCTGGAACTTCAATTTAATCTAAAGGAAAGACATTTAGGAGGTCTTGCTTATTAAAGAAACGTAGTAGGCAGATTTTTAAATCACCCTAAATTCAAAACATATAATCAACTCTACAACTGGAAATCTTACGCATAAAACGGCTTCCTTATAGTGAGCTAGATAATAAAAACAGAGATGTACTTGATACAATGTATAAATGATCTGTTGACCAGTTACTGAATCAGAAGAGGTTTTTAAATGATACAATTTGGGGACAGTCTAGGTAGGTGTCAACTTTTCTTAAGATTTCACTTCAGACAAAGGTGTCTGTGAGTTTTAGATTTATAATAGAAATTGAAATCTAAAGCTAATCTTCCCAGGAGAAGCTATCTTCTAAGTGAAGGTCTGTGTGCAGAGCCTCCTCAAGCTGTGGGGGCAGAGGGCCCTGGGTGCTGAGCTCACCAGTGTCTCGTGCAGGGGTGAAGACCTGAACCAAGGCATGTGTCCTCTCTCTCCTAATGGCTGCTCAGAGAGGGCAGCCATGGCCACAGGCCACAAAGCACATTTTCTATATAATCAACAGTATTTCA